TATATATATTAAGAATGATTATTAGTAGGAAATTTAAATGCTAGCACACACAATTCTTATGCATCTACAAATCTCAAACATGAAAATATAAGTATAAGACATGTAAATACATAAATGTATATAAATACCCTTAAATATTATTACCTCCTTGTGGTCAACGGGCACTGAGGGATACAGCCTAAGAGCTTCCGAAATTGCGGCATGCAAATACTCCATCTTCTTCACATCCTCCGGCTGAAAAATCACCTCACCGCCGAGGCCGCCGCCGCCACATTCCTCCCCCTCTCTCTCCTTCAATATCCCCCTTAACTCCTCCAATATCTTCTCCTCCACATCCCGATACCTCTCCAACAACCAAAAGAACCAAGCCAGCGCTACCGAAGAAGTATCCCTCCCCGCCAATATAAAGTTCACGCAAACATCCCTCAAGAACTCATCAGTGTACTTCACCCCTCCTTCCTCATCCTTTGCCTTCGTGAACACGGTCAGCAAGTCGGAGTTGATCGTCGCCGTCGGAGCTTTGAGCTCCTCCTTCCTGTCTTTTATCACCTTGTAGGCGAACTCGTCGACTATCTCTATGGACCGCCGGAGCTTACGCTCGTTTCCGATGTCAAGGAACTTCATCGCCTTCCATATGGTGGTGGGGGTGACGAAGCGTAGTAAGGTGGCTTCGGTGGCGTCCTCAAAGGCGGCGGCAAAGGGGATTTCGGGGAGACCTGGTCGAAGGCAACCAGGATCGATACCGAAGGCGATCATGCAAACGTTGTCGAAGGTTAGGCGAAGCAATATGTCCTGGAGATGAAGATGATGATAAATTATTTTTTTAAACGAGATATTATTATTATTGAATTGTATTTTAGCTAAATATAAAAAATACAAACAACAAAAATAGGTAGGTGGGGCTAAAGAAGAGTGAATATTATGTGTGGCATTAGCAGAAGAGGATTGATGGTATTGCGGTGATATTATGATATTATTATGATGAATACTATCATAATACCACCAAATTCATATCTATTCGCACCTACCTATCAGCTTGCAATATTTCATCCTAAGAAATTCTTTGATTTTGCTTTCATATGAGATTAATTTATGAATTAGTTGTAAGGTTTTCTTATTTGAAAAGAGGCTAAGAGCTTCAAATTAAGCTTGATATAAAAAAAATATAATATTTCAATTCAATTTGCATTTATCAAATGATATGTTTTAATGAATTACTTAAATTTTATGATAATTAAATTATAATCATTATATAATTAAGCCTTCTAGTGATTTATATAATTTATGCACTTATTGAATTTTAGATACGCTTAATCAACTTTCATTATAAAATATATGTTGCCTAGTCCTATATATACACTTTCTTTATATTATGATTATAAATAGTACATGTATCATTCTTTTTAGGTAATTACTTGCTAATCATCTAAAACACTGATATTTATAAATTAATTATTTAATTATTTTTTTTTGAACAATCAAATCAATATATTTATTTGTGCTTCGATCGATATTGAGAACTCGATAAAAATGAAAAATATGGGTTTGGGAATTTGCAAAATGGATGAATGAGAGGGGTTAATTTATAAATCTCAAATTTCTAAGAATTAAGGTGTCACCCAATTTATAATATAAAAAATAACTAAATCACCGGTTAACATCACTAATCCACTTTTCTAGTTAAGTAAATCAAAACCATACCTTTCAGATAAGATTATAAGAATTAAAGTACACCATGTCTTATTACATAAGCTGATCAACTAATCATACTCACCTGAAGATCCCCCTTGGGGGGCGCTCACACCCCCCGGAACCAGCCGGTCATGTACGAGCTCCACAAGCGACCTTGCCGTCAGAGCGCGGAACTCAGCCGAATGAAACTCCAGACTCGCCGTCTTCCGCTTCCCCCCCCCCCCCGCCACGCCTCGTCGCCCGCCGCAAAAATTCCGTCGCCCAACAGATCTCCCACGACGGCCCGAAAGTAGGGACCTTTGGGAAAGCTGCTGAACTTCTCCTTGAGGAGATGCTCGAGGTTTCGGGGATCGGCCGTGACGACGCATTGGAGGTTGGTGAAGGGGGGACCGCGGAAGACGAAGGTGCCGCCGCGCTCGATGACGATGGTGGTGATCCATTCGTAGACGTTGCGGCGGAGAGCGAGGAGGAGGGAGGGGAGCATGCCGAGAAGGGGGAAGGAGGGGAGGCCCTGACGGCGGCGTTGACGGAGGGAATGGATGGTGATGAAGATGGAGACGGCGAGGATGAGTTCGACGGCGTGGATTGTTTCGGGGAAGATGAGCCGTTGGTTGAGGGAAGCCATGGGGAGATGGAAGGTTTTGGTTTGTGGGAAAGTTAGGGTTTTTTTTATAAGGTGGAGTTTGGTTTGGTGAGCGGAAATGGGGCGTGGGGGGTGGGGTAGGCCGGGTCGGGGTTTTGCCGTTAAGTGTAGATTTGAATTGTGGTCGCGGTTAGATGTGTCTGATTTGACTGTGGCCAACGGTTTTTTTAAAAGTGATTTTTATGCTGACGTCATTATTATGGGAAAAAGATTTAATTTTTTTGGGAGGTATTTGATGGAAAGGGTGAAAGGTGCAATGAATTTTTATGGAAGGTATTTAACTTTGGGAAAGTGTGCATGTCACATTTTTTATGCTTAAAAATGTGTATTTTATCTTCTTAAACGAAGAATGGTTATCTCTTTTATTTTTATGCTTAAAAATGTGTATTTTATCTTCTTAAAGGAAGAATGGTTATCTCTTTTACGTGATAAGGAAAATTTTTGTTGCATAAATAAAAATAGTAAAATTTAATTGCTACATAAATATATAGGAATTGGGTGGTAATGAGGTATGCATGTAAATGCTCGAGGTATAATTGTAACTTTTGTTTTCAATAATTTTATTTTTTGGAGGGGAGCCTTTGTAGCAAGTATGTCATAAATTTTGTGATTAAAGTATGTTTTAAGCCTGAGTCTCTTAGTCTGAGTGAAGAGATTCTACCAATTCCCTACCAACACACCATTCTTAAGTATGTTAAATATTCGAGTATCACACCCTACACATAAAATGATTCAAACTCGTGGCTTGAAGAAACTTACGAACTTTAGAGAAACTGCTCTACCAACAAACCACACTACCCGCAGACAGATATATATGATTGTAAATTTTATCAAAAGATATCTTTAAAAAAAATATTTTGTGATTTGTTTTTTCGCATAAAACAATCCACATGAATATATAAAAATCGACTGGTATATATATA